AAATCATTCCTCTCACCCTTTTCCTCGCTCATGGAACAATCTGAATAAAATCCAAAATAGGTCCAAGGGGTTTTCATAGGAAATGTGAAACTGGAATTGGCAAAACGTGAGAAAATTGGGCATTTGAAAAAGGGAAATATTTACTTACACTTCTTTATAGTGAGAAAAGCTTGTGAATCTGGATTCAGAAAATTTACATTATGAAAGAAGTCAACTCTGAAACATCTTAGAAGCTGGGATATTTCTTAAAACACACCATTCACTCTGGATGAAATTCATCCCTCTGCAGATGGTGGGGAGGAGCATAATTCCTAGCTGACATTTAAGTCCCACATAAGCCCTCAAAATTGGATCTGAGTCAAAACAGCAAAAAAAGGCACCAAGGATCTGGCCCACTAAATTCACTTTTTTTAAAAATGACCAATTGTTCAGGATGCTACTAAGGCTACAGAAACAGATCTTTAATTTGTGGGTCTTATATTGTTTGAAGAAAGTCAGATATAAATAGAGAACAAACAAGTTTTAAAAAACCACCTGAAACAGAAAAATTCAAGAGAGGATTGCTATATAGATAAAATATATGAAAAACCGGATAGCTAGTTCCTCTAAAGAGTCTGTAATTTAATAAAATCTTGCAATTCAATGGAAAGAATTTAACTGTAAACTGTGATAAAGGCATTCACTGTGGAAAAGGAAGTGGCATTTATTTTAAAGGTTTTACTATTCAGTGAGCTCTTTAGCTATATAGTTTTATTTTTAGATAGAGTGAGGTTCTCTTTTTATTTGTGATACTTGCAAACACAGGCTTTCAATTTGCCAGTGATGTGAAAGAGTTCCTGAGCTTTTTAAAGGTCATTTGTGTAGACGTCTCATTATGAGCTCTGCTAGGAATTATATATATATATATATTGCTCATGAACAAATTCAGCAGCCAATTTATAACAAAGGTCTAGACACAAAAGGGCCTGGAAAATGGACCAGTTTTATTTGGTGTTAGATATATATTTATTTTTATGACCAGATGGTCTGAACTGCAATACTTAGTCATATCCAAGGCCTCATGTTCTCTTGTGGCAAAATCCCCCAGCACCAGACTGGGCAGCAGACTGGAAATTCTGAAGGAGCTTGAGGTGTGTTATTGAATTAAATATGAAAATGAATAATTCAATCAATAAAATATTCCTTGTGTTATTCATTTGGGGTTTGATCCAAAGCCCATTGAATTCAAAGATTCCCGTTGACTTAATGTGCTTTAGTCCTTTTACTGTTAGATTCAGTTTATTGTAGTCTGCTCCTAATTGTTCCTCAGATGTTAGTACTGACAGTGGATGACTGTTACAAAAGTTGTCAAGAGGGTAGATGGAGGTATTGGCAGCTGGGGCATTTGGTTAACTATCAAAGTGTAGGAGGTAGTTTAAGTTTGTGAGATAAAAACATTAGCTGAACATTTCTGCTAAAATGATAATCAGTGAAATGGTTAGCAACATTGTCATTTAAAGTGTTATCATTAGGTTTCAGAGCTAACAACTTGTTTGACTGAATGAGGGCAGTTTGTTTCTCTCTTAGAATGATGAAGAAAGACATCACTGATTGGTTTATATCTGGTCCTGTTTGGAAAGTTCTCCTGGGTCTATGGTCGGGGAAAGGCTGAATGTAAAGGTTAGAGGAGAGAGATGAGACAGGAGATGAAAAGGAGGAAAGGGAAGACAGAGGATGGAGAGGAAAGAGTAGAGAAAGCAAGCACATTGTGTAAAAGGTAGGGGGGAAAGAGGAGACTATTTTGATTTTAGCTGGAAAAGGGAAAGAGGAGACAGACTGGATGCTGCAGGGGAAGGAGAGATTAGACTGGAGGGTTATCTGCTGTACATACAGAAATAATGAATGAGCTTTTTGCTAACGGGTGGAGAATTAGAGAGAGACATGATGAATGAAGAGGACAGGAGATAGAAGTAGAGAATTTGTTTAGAAAAGGGAAAGTTGTGATACTGAAGAGTGGAGAGAGAGAGAGAGAGAAAGATTGCAGGTGAGAAGCTTGAAAATGATGGTGTATGGGAAGAAGTATAAATGAAGGAAGGAGGAAGAGGGATTGGGTGTAAGAAAAAAAAGGAAGAAGAAATGGAACAAACACGGGGAAAGGAAGGCAGGAACACAGAAAAAATCATGGATGAAAATACAGACAAAAATATACAACAAAAGGAATGAAGAAGTGAAGCGGAGGGCAGGAAAAAGAAGGAAGAACAAAAGCCAGGGAGGCACATGGCAATAAGTTGCATTTTTAGACATTTATATCATAGAAAGCTGAATATCAAAATATTGCAATAAAATTAATTTCAGTAGTGATGCATTGCATTGCTATATAAACACTATATCCTGGATAGACAGAACACAGCTTTAAAGACATACATATGTTTATAAAGATATACTGACATGCATTTTATTGCAACATATTGGCATTCTGTTTTCTATTATAGACAAGTGTTCCCACTGCCTGTGAGAAGGCTATATGTGTGCAGGAGGAAGTAGGGGTTCTGCCCTTTCACCCTCAATCTTAAATACCAAGCCATCCCTGCTTGAGATGCCTTTTATCATTGGCTCATTGAAGACACTTCTGAGGAGCAATATTTTGGAACTTGATTCGCTTCCACTGGAGCAGAGAGGTACAATTCCTCCTTAAGGGAAAGCAGGCAGTCAATGCCCTAACACTCTTTGCCCTCCCTCAGGAGTTCTGCTGGTGGAGCGCAGCTTGAACTATGATTAGAGTTCCATAACAGTCCCTTAAGAAGAGATTGTCTTGGCTACTCTCTCTCTCTCTCTCTCTCATATCAGTACTGCCTACTTTGGGAACTTTGCTAGCTGTGCCCTCCATCCCCAGGGGCTGCTGCATGTGAACTGTAAGAGCCAGCATCACTCTGGTTTATAGCCCAAGATGACTGAAGTGCTTAGGATTGTACTAAATGATAGGCATTTTTAAAAAATAATTCTCAGAGAGGATAGCCCTGGTTCCTGTGTAAATTCCTCAATTCAGCAATGGGGGTGTGTGTGCGAAAGGGAAGAATGGAAAGACAGAAAGAATATAGGTGGTGTAGTCTTACACATGAAATGCTGAGGATAATTAATGCAGCTCATAGCAATGCCTGAAATACAGGAATTTGGACTCCATCAGTAAAGTTAGTGAATACCACTGCTCTAGGCCATGCTACCTTTTGAACACAGAGATCTTTATTAAAAAAGGGATCCAAAATACGATTGTAAACTGTTATGTATTGGAACATTACTGCAGCATAAGAAAAGTGGTTTTCTTTTTTCCCTTAGAGTCATAGAAGATTAGGGTTGGATGAGACCTCAAGAGGTCATCTAATCCAACCCCCTGCTCAAAGCAGGACCAACCCCAACTAAATCATCCCAGTCCCAGGGCTCTGTCAAGCCAGGCCTTAAAAACCTCTAAAGATGGAGATTCCACCACCTCCCTAGGTAACGCATTCCAGTGCTTCACCAGCCTCCTAGTGAAATAGTTTTTCCTAATATTCAATCTAGACCTCCCCCACTGCAACTTGAGACCATTGCTTCTTGTTCTGTCATCTGCCAGCACTGAGAACAGCTGAGCTCCATCCTCTGTGGAACCCCTCTTTAGGTAGTCAAAGGCTGCTATCAAATCCCCCATCACTCTTCTCTTCTGCAGACTATAAATAAGCCCAGTTCCCACAGCCTCTCCTCGTAAGTCATGTGCTCCAGCCCCCTAATAATTTTTGTTGCCCTCCGCTGTACTTCCTGCAATTTGTCCGCATCCTTTCGGTAGTGGGGGAGGGGCCCAAAACTGGATGCAGTACTCCAGATGTGGCCTCATCAGTGCCGAATAGAGAGGAATAAACACTTCCCTCGATCTGCTGACAATGCTCCTACTAATGCAGCCCAATATGCCGTTAGCCTTCTTGGCAACAAGGGCAGACTGTTGACTCATATCCAGCTTCTCGTCCACTGTAATTCCAGGTCCTTTTCTGCAGAACTGCCACTTAGCCAGTCGGTCCCCAGCCTGTAGCAGTGCATGGGATTCTTCCGTTCTAAGTGTAGGACTCTGCACTTGTCCCTGTTGAACCTCATCAGATTTCTTTTGGCTCAATCCTCCAATTCATCTAGGTCACTCTGGACCCTATCCCTACCCTCCAGCGTATCTACCTCTCCCCCCAGCTTAGTCTCATCTGCGAGGGTGCAATGCATGCCATCATCCAGATCATTAATGAAGATGTTGAACAAAACCAGCCCCGGACCGACCCCTGGAGCACTCCGCTTGATATCGGCTGCCAACTAGATATCGAGCAGTTGATCACTACCCATTGAGCCTGACGATATAGCCAGCTTTCTATCCACCTTACAGTCCATTTATCCAATCCATACTTTTTTAACTTGCTGGCAAGAATACTGTGGGAGACCATATCAAAAGCTTTGCTAAAGTCAAGATATATCACGTCCACCACTTTCCCCATATCCACAGAGCCAGTTATCTCATCATAGAAGGCAATCATGGTTGGTCAGGCATGACTTGCCCTTGGTGAATCCATGTTGACTGTTACTGATCACCTTCTTCTCCTCCAAGTGCTTCAAAATGGACTCCTTGAGGACCTGCTCCATGATTTTTCCAGGGACTTAGGTGAGTCTGTAGTTCCCTGGATTCTTCTTCTTCCCTTTTTTAAAGATGGGCACTATATTTGCCTTTTTTCAATCGTCCGGCACCTCCCCCAATCACCACGAGTTTTCAAAGATAATGGCCAACGGCTCTGCAATCAAATCAGCGAACTCCCTCAGCACTCTCGGATGCATTAGATCTGGACCCATGGACTTGTGCATGTCTAGCTTTTCTAAATAGTCCTTAACCTGTTCTTTCACCACTGAGGGCTGCTCACCTCCTCCCCATACTGTTCTGCCCAGTGCAGCAGTATGGGAGCTGACCTTGTCTGTGAAGACCGAGGCAAAAAAAGCATTGAATACTTCAGCTTTTTCCACATCATCTGTCACTAGGTTGCCTCCCCCATTCAATAAGGGTCCCACACTTTCCCTGACCACCTTCTTGTTGTTAACATACCTGTAAAAAACCTTCTTGTCATCCTTCACATCCATTGCTAGTTGCAACTCCAATTGTGCTTTGGCCTTCCTGATTACACCCCTGCATGCTCAAGCAATATTTTTATACTCCTCCCTAGTCATCTGTCCAAGTTTCCACTTCTTATAAGCTTCCTTTTTGTGTTTAAGATCACCAAAGATTTCTCTATAAAAAGTAACAAAGAGTCCTGTGGCACCTTATAGACTAACAGACGTATTCTTTCTGATGCAGAAGATGTAAGGGACTTGAAGTACATGGAAAGCTATTATAGGCATATAGGGCAGCATGAAACCTGCATGGATGAAGAAGGATGCAGTCAGGAAAGAAACACTGGGAATCAGAAAGTGTTGATAGGAGGAGATGTGGTCAGAGTAAATGATAGTGAGGTTATTTAGTTTTGAATGAGAAAAAGTTTGAACTTTATGTGGAAGTAGAGGGTAAGCCAGTGCTGAGATTCAAGAAGTTGGGGGACATGATCAGAATGGTAGGAAAGGGATTAATCTTGATGTCAGTATTATTGATAGAAGGAACGGGAGATAGAAGAGAAGGATAGGCCAGAAAGCAGGAGGTTCTAGAAATAACTAGATCATGGGCTAGTCTTTTGACAGTGGGGATAGAGAAGGGGGGCTGCCTTATTATGGAAGAAGAAGCAGCAACACTTGGTGAGCACCTGGATGTAAATGGAGAAGGAATGCAAGAATGAAATCAGGGAGCATGGCAGATGGTGTACTGACAGTGAGAGAAGGGAAGAATGATGATAAGCTCAATTTTCATCTCATTTGCAAAGCACTGTTTCCAGAGAGCTTACCTTCTGACAAGCTTCACATTTTCAGAAAGCAAATACCTTCAGGGCTTATAAATTACTTATGTCTTCTCCACCGTATTCAAAGCAATAGAAAAACATTTTTTATTCACTGTCTGGAAATCAACAGATAAAATACTGATATTTTGAGTTTAATTAAAAAGTATCTGAACCAGTTCACTGGGACAAAAATCTTTGAGAAGAATAATGGAAATGTTTTATGCATCCCAATTTCAAATGAAATTACTTGAAAAAAAGACTTGATAAATGCTTTCTTAAGCTCCCTACAAAATCAATGCTACAGAAAATCTCCTTATTTTATTTGAAAAAATATCATGCAGACATTAGCATTAAAAATCAGTATTTTCCAGCAGTTACTGCAGTATATTATCTCAGATGCCACTGTATATCTAATGCTGTAGTATGAAAACTCTTGGTAAATGCAGAGTTTTATTGGTGACCACTGTATAAATCAGATATGTGTACAGCACTATTTACCCTCTCTAGTAGTATACAGTACCAAGAATTAATGCAATGATTTTTTAAAACTCTGTCATTACTGAGCAATTTACGGATCAAAATGGTGACTTTCGTCAAATGACATCCTACTGCGTGTGGCCTACTGACTAGTGCACCTAACTGGTGTTCGTGAGACCTGGGTTCTGGTCCTAACTATGCTACTAGGAGATGTTGAGCAAGTCACTTTACTACCCTGTGCCTCCGTTTCCCCATTTATAAAATGGGAATCAATATTCTGATCTTTTTTATGGGAGAGTGTGAAGTGCTTTGAGATCTACTGATGAAAAAACACTATATAAGAACTAGCACTTACTTATAACCACTGTGTTTAGCATGTGCTTATTGCTTGGGATGTAGGTGAATTTAGAAACATGCTTTTACCAACTCCAAAACTGGAATTTTGTGGCTTAGCTTTCCAGACAGCTTTCACACAGAGGCTAACTTGACAAAAGAGACCAGTTACAGAAAAAGCAATTTACATGACCAGCAATTTCTATATTTATCCTATTATTGTTTTTGTTGTATTTAGGAAACTGGGTATCTTAGGGGATGAACAATGCAGTACAGCGCCTTTCCCCTCTAGGTTACTCTTCAGTTATGGCCCATCTTAGTTGTGGGGTTAGCTCAGTTCCATGGCATTTTTGTTGGCAGCCTGTGCAGAGGTTGAGAAATCAATGGACATAATGACAGATGTACCACTCATCTCTAGCATTAGCCTCTACAGGTCAAGATTGCATGTGCTCATTTTGCAGTCTGACAAGCTCAAAAGCCATCCAATGAGTAGAGTTTCTGAGGGATCAGATGAAAGCACCCACAGCCTGTGAGAGTATATTTTTGTCTCAAAGGTCTCATGGTTGCCAGAATTAGTTACCCCATTTCAGAGATGCTGTATCCACTTAATACTAATTTGGGCCTGCTTTTCCTTTCTATGTTGGGAGAGTTTGGCATTCCTGGCTTTTCAGGTTCTAGGAAAGGAAAGTGTTGCAAACACCTTTTGAAAATACAGTACTACAATTTACAAGAGGAAGAATCTTTAAATCAGGCTGTTATTTATGAAAAAAGTGGCACCATTCTACTTTGAACCTGTTTGCTCCAAAAGAGAATATACAAAATTAAAGGCACTTCTCACCTTTGGGCACGGATCTTCTCTCTTTCTTGGAACTTTCAAGATCTGAGTGCTGGGTTTGCGAACTTTAACTGTGACTGGCAGTGATTGCCAAAGTAATGAAAGACAGCAGAAGCTTGTTGAAGTAAACTATCAGCTCCTTAATAGTGTGCAAGCTTTGGTTCAAGTGAGCAATTTTCTATCATGATGAAATACAAAGTAATTCATACTCCAAGAAAGAATAGACATATTGAATATTTCATACCTATTGTACATTATGCATGTGACAGCAATTATGCATTTTATCTATAAATATAGAAACATTACAATGACAGATAGAGTTAACCAACCATAAATTCTTGCAAGTCTATTGTTTTGGTTCGATTTTTTTTCTCAGTTGCATTTGGCTACTCTTCACAGAACTAAATGTTGGCATATATATGTACCAAAGAGTATGATGCCAGCTACAGGCTTCACTATAGCAAAGCCTTTTCTTTGCTTTTCATCAGCATATGCCAGTTTAAGATCAGCAAGACTTGTTTGATTCATCCTGCTTTTACCTTCACTTGGCATCAATCCCAGTGTGGAGCAGCCCACTCTCCCAGTATGCGAGGATCTGGAAATATGCTACCTAATACTCAGGATTCCATTTTCAAGCTGATATGAGTACCGAGAAAGGCAATCCAGTCTGCTGACTTCAACCCAGTAAATCATGGAAGTTCAGACAAGTGGGGAATTTGCTTTCAATTTTCAAAATTACTCAGGCAAAGCTAGAATGCAAGTGGAAAAGATCTTTCCTCAATGAGATCCTGATGAAAAACATGCTTTTCAGTGTTTTCATTGAACTAATCTATATCTGACTGCTTTTTGCATTTATGATTACTCCTTTCCAGCCTACATAGCCCAAAAGGAGAAAAGATTAACAAAATAAAACTACCTTATGGACTCATCCATCACAACTTCAGTCAGTCCTGAAGTCATCACCTTGCCAAATGTCTCCTTCTTCATTTATGAAATCCCAGGATCCATAGGGCCAAATTAAAATTCCTTAAACTGTGCTCACTAAATATAAATGTGATGTCACAAACAGATAAGTGAGCATTCAGATTACACAGTTACATGTGCAAATGCTTTATTTTTTGAAAAACTGGCCCACAGATTGTAGTTTGGATCCTTCCAATCCCTTGGAAATTTTGAACCCTGCTCAGATCTCAGAAATCTGTAGATGGGGTGTTAATGGATTTAAAAACTGACCTGAGCACATGGATTGAAGAACATAAACTCTAGAGAAAACAGTAACAGACACCAATACTTTGGGGAAATTGTATATATTGTTCACCAAGAACTTTGTCCCTCAAAGGTCAGTATTTTCACATCATGGTATCTATGCTGAAGCTGACCGTCTGCAACAATCTGGTCAGTTGTCCTTGTAGTTAGAATGGCCACAAGTTTCTCTGCTGCTGAGGCAAAAAATGACCAGTGAAACCTTGCAAAAGGGCATTTCCAGTATCTTGTGCATTGGTGGCAAATGTAGAATTAGTGTATGGAACATTCAAATATTAACTGAAATAGCTAAACCCATTTTCCTCGAAAAGCAGGTAATATTCAAAGCTGAACCAGGCAATCACCTCCATCAGCACTGGTTTGGTTTTGGCAGTTTTCTTGGTATGGTTGTATTACTGGAAGACCAACAGATTCTGAAGCATGTGTACCAACGATGCTTGTACATGGCTGGCGATCACATGGTGCTAAAGCTTTGGTGGCACAATAAGATTGCCAGTGATGGTAAGAAACTGAATATCCTGCCAGACTATCTTACGGACATAGTCAGCAATGGATCCAGGTGGCGCTCAGTCTGCAAGGAGGCCACGTCACTTTGAGATTTGCCATGATGATGAAGCAGCTTTGGGTTGCCAAATCATGGATAAAAAACAGTAAAATCCTGAGGTTCTCTTGCATTGTGCATTTGACATTGATTTGTGTCTAAAGAGTTTCCCCTGTTGCTTTTGTGCACTAAAAAGAAAAAAGAAAAACATGTTAAGAATATAAAAACTGGATTCTACACTCTCTAAGTTACAGTGCTCACCCCTACCCTGTCTGTCTGTCTAGAGCAGGGGCGGGCAAACTTTTTGGCCTGAGGGCCACATCAGGTTTCCAAAATTGTATGGAGGCCGGTTAGCGGAGGCTATGCCTCCCCAAACAGCCAGGCGTGGCCCAGCCCCTGCCCCCATCCGACTCCCCCTGCTTCTTGCCCCCTAACAGCCCCCCCGGACTCCTGCCCCATCCAATACCCCCTGTTCTCTGACGCCCCCCCTTCCCTGTCCCCTAACTGCCTCCGGAACCCCCGCCCTGACTGCCCCCCTGCCCCCCCCATCCAATCCCTCCTCTCATTCCTGACTGCCCCCCCGGGACCTCTGCCCTATCCAACCACCCCTTCTCCCTGTACCCTGACTGCCCCCAGAACCCCGCCCCCTGACTGCCCCCCACCACCCCATCCAACCCCCGCTCCTTCCTGACTGCCCCCGGGACCCGTACCCCATTCAACCCCCCTGTTTCCGGCCCTCTGACCGCCCCGACCCCTAGCCACAACCCCACCCCCTGACCACCACCCCCAACTCCCCCTGCCCCCTCACCACGCTGCCTTGAGCACTGGTGGCTGGCAGTGCTACAGCCGCGCCACCCAGAGCAGCAGGACAGGCAGCTATGCCGCCCGGAGGGAGCCAGCCACGCCACCATGCAGCACAGAGACCGGGTCAGGCCAGGCTCTGCAGCTGCGCTGCCCCAGGAGCTCACAGCCCCGCCGCCCAGAGCATTGCGCCGGCGGCGCAGTAAGCTGAGGCTGCGGAGGAGAGGGAACAGCGGGGGAGGGGCCGGGGGCTAGCCTACCGGGCCAGAAGCTCAGGGGCCAGGCAGGAGGGTCCCGCGGGCCGTAGTTTGCCCAACTCTGCTTTAGGGGCTATTATGCTTCTGTAAATTATGCTAGAGGCTGCTGTAAATTATGCTACCAGCCTGTGGAGCAGCACAGAATAGTGTGAGGCAGGGGAGGTGCAAAAGCGTCTTACCCTCCCCCTAGGCTGCACCCTTCTGTGCCATGCCTCTTAGAGGCACCAGAGAGAATCTCAACCTCTATTTCTTTGTCTTTTCTACACTTCACTCTTTAAAATGTAATGATGTATGTGCACACCAATAAAGAAGCCTCTAACTGTTCAACTTCATGCCTGATGTTAATGTTTGATTTTTAACAGAGTACTTTTTTTGGTAATCCTTTCACCCCAAAGCATGACTGGGAGATACTGGCTCTGATCCAAAGCTCATAGAAGTCAATGGCTTTCCATTGACTTCACTAGGCTTTGAATCAGGCCCATTCTGAGCTCTGATACAATACACCTGGGACTGCGTTGTAAGGAAGTTACATTAAGGTACCTTTGGAACAACTGATCAGTTGAGTGACTCACTTCTAGCCTATTTCTAACTAGAATTCTAATGACTGAGTTGTTCGGTTCCCCGGCCCCCCGAATATTCCTTTCATTATCCTATTTGTGTTTTAAAAAAATCAGTACTTCTTTAGCCTTTAATCTTTGTTTAATATTGTATACTGTTAGCCATGGATTTATTTTGGGCTTTTTTGTGCTATTTTTGGAAAAGAGAAGGTGTCAAACCCAAATTAGGTTTCATAGCAATGCCACTGCCTAACTGCCCTATTAGTAGCTCTATACAAAGCTATTAATAGCAGGTCCTGGCCTGCAGCTTCCACATCTAAATTGTTACGGTGTAGTGCAACAACAAATGGCAATAATAGGCAGCATATTAGTTATTCCACCTCAGAAAAGAACGCATGAGATTTATGAGATGCTGAGTAATGTATTATTTATTGGTTGCCAGGTGGTTGTGTTGCTCTTTTACTTTTCCAGACTCTCAGGAGGTTTTATTTGTTGCAGTTAGTCAGTGTACACATATATGCTGACAAGCTACCCAGTAACAGTTATATGTGACAGACTGAAAACATTGTCTCAGGGTCCTTTAGAGAAGTGGCAGGACAGCTGGGGCTGGAAGGCATGCAGTTTTTGTAAACAGAGTTATGACCTTGTAGTATGAACACTGAAACCTTGATTATCTCCTGGGCTAAGGTCTGACTAATGTTCACATTTGCCAATACCTTAACCGGTATCTTAAATGCATACAAGCCTGCCCAATTGTGCAAACATTCCACACAAAAGGAGATAGGACTCAGGTTGAGATAAACTCTCAGAAGTCAGGAAATTCCAAAATTTAAGGTTAAACTTTCAAACTAATTCTTCCCTCCTTCTGCATATGCTTTAAAATGGGGACTCCTTATATCCTCTAATATTATGTTTCATATATATATATATATATAAAACAATAACATAAATCATTTTGAAAGCCAATTCCTCAGATGGTGTAAGCTCCATTGACTAACTGAAAAGGTTAGAACTTCAGCTGGCAATCTGTTATATTGACCAGCTGAACATCTAGCTCACAATATAAAGTAGAATTTCACTGTCTTGTATTTCAGCTTCTCCAAACTTTATTACACTAATTCCTTTTGTGTTGACATTTTCCTTGCTTTACTTCTATACACACTTGTACCCACACAGCCTGAACCTGAGCTTTGTATTATGGCAAAGCTCCCTTGAAGTTCTGCTTGATTTAAAATAATCTGGTGTAGGCCCACACAATCTGATCCAGAACATGTCACATGTAAATAAAAGACCAATTTAGAAAAAAGAAAAAACATGCTCCTCCCACCAGATATTATTTCAGTAAAAACAGGCACCTTAAAAATAACACTATAGATTAGCTACAGTTCATAAACTCATACCAAAGGTCTGAACTGGAAAAGAGAAAGCACTTTTCCATGCCCTAATAATCTCCCATTCCTCGATCACTGGGTATTTGCTTCAATGGTTGAGCATTAAGACCCTGGTTAAGCAAGCTACTTAAACAGGTGCCTAACTTTAAGGATGTGAGTAGTTCTACAAAAGACAATGGACCTTAATCACGTGTTAGGTATATGCTTAAGTAGCTTGCTAAATTGGGGCCTGAGGATGGGGGCGTTGGGATTG